GTTAGCTGTGGCTCCAGAGTCCCTGTTTCAACACCGGCACCATTCACTACCTCCAGGAGGGAACTGGAGCTTGTGGTAAGACTCAAGGTGGAGGTTGGCAGCCAGCCGAGCAGAGAGCCTGGGGTCGAGGCACTGAAGGTCAACATTGTAGTTCCGGCATTTGCTGGCTGGGCGACCTTGGACAGTTTTGAGCCCCAGCTTCCTCGTATTCAAGATGCACCTTCATTCCATTAACAAACCCATCTGGAGCCCCTGGATGTGCCAGGCATTCTTCTGGGCTCTAGGCATTGGGTGATGGATAGGACAGACACGGTCCTGTCCTCATGAAACAGTGTAGTGATGGGGGAGCCATAGGGCAAGCAGAAGAAAGAAACAGGATCATTTCAGGTAAGAGACTGAACAGGGTGGATGGTAAAAAGTGTCCTATGGGAGGAGGCACGTCCTTGGATTGTTGGTTGGTGAGGACCTGTCTCGAAGGTACCATTTGACCTGAGATGGGAATGAGAAGAAGGGGCGGGGTGAGCCCCCAAAAAGCCAGGGAAACAGACATGTGCTAGTTTCCTGGGGCTGCTGGAAAAAATATAGCCTCATGGTTTAAAATAGCACAGACTTACTGTCTTAACAGTTCTGGGTGCCAGAAGTACAAAATCAGCTTCTCTGGGTTCAAGTCGAGGTTTTCGGCAGGGCTCTACTCCCTCCAGAATACTGGAGGGTCTGTTTCCTTGCTTTTCTTGGCTTCTGAGCTGCATTCCTCAGCTCCTGGCCCCTTCTTCCCTCTTCAGAGCATCTTTAGATCTTTCTCGGCTTCTGTCATGTTGCCTTCTCCTCCCTGTGTGTTGTCTTCCCCTGCCTTCCTCCTATACTTATGAACACATGTAGGGCCTGCTGGGATAATCCAGAATAATCTCCCCATTACAGAATCTTTCTCATATTTATAAAGTTCCTCTTGTCATGTAACATCCATAGGTTCCAGGGATTGGGGCTTGAATATTTGGGGGGGGGGGTCACTCTTCATCCTCCTGCAAAGGCCTTCCAGAAAGAGGGAAGAGCCCACCGAAGGCCCTGACAATAATCCGTGCCCCACAGTGGTCTGTGGTGAGGAGGATACAAGGTGGTTTTGTAAAGAGCTAGAAGGTTGTTGGTTATATAGTGAGTCCCCCAAAATGTTAGATCTCATAATGTTTACTGGATGGGGACTCCGAGGGCAGAAGGGGCTACATCCGCTGCTGAGGGTGGGAAGGCTGTGGGTTGGAAGAAAGAGGTGTCTGGGGGTCCTAAGTAGTGGCACTGTCCATGTGTGTTGCTCAGGGAGCCCCAGCAAGACTCGGAGATGTTTGCATCTATTCCCAGCCTTCACTGGTTGGCTGCACCACAGGAGCATGGCCCGCCCACCGGCTTCCAGGGGACAAGGAGGTGCAGCCCTGGGAAAGGAGTAAAGGAAGGACAGCAGCTCCGACCCCAGCAAGCTTCTCCCTCCCCAGAGAGCAGCTCCTCTGCTTGGCCCTGGGGTGCTACCTGGTTCCTGGTGGGGGCAGGAATGTGGAGATCGCTTAGACCTGGCAGTGGTTCTGACTGTGGCTTTGGGAAGTCCAGGGAACATTCTTAGGGTTTCTGTGCTCTGTAGTCCAGCTCACAGGCTGGACAAGCAGATGGGAACAGGGCCTAAATCCTGGCCAGAAATAGAGAGGGTGCGTTTTGCTTAACTTTGCCTGGGTTGCTTGGCCAGGGAGGTGAACACCCTCATAGGTGAGGATATGGCAGGCAGGAGTCTAGTTAAGCTGAAAGAATCTCTTTTTGTGTCTGTCTGTGTTTTACAGGTAAGGACTGGGGAGGTCCAGGAGAGGGGAGAGCTGTGTGGGGCCTCCAAACCCAGGTCTGGGGAGGTGGAGTCAAATCTTAGGAACTTTCCATTTCAGTTTGGGGTCTCTCCTTGAGCTCGCTCAGACAGGACTAGCGAGGCAGGACTTGAAAAGCATGACACAAGAAGTGGTCATTGAGGGCTCGTGGATCTAGGGAAGGCAGAGGCGTGGTGAAGTCAGACGGGTGAATTCTGACTCAGGGAGGCAGATCCCTGGAGAGGTGAGCTCGAGCAGTGCTTCCTTTGAAAAGGAATCGTGAACACGAGAGGTTCTGTACAAATTCCACCCTGCACTCTGAGGGAGGACAGAAACAGTAAGGCTTTAACTGCAACTTTAATTTTTTAAGCACTGGGGGTGGGGGGAGGAGGGAAAATGGATAACTCAGTGCCTTTTGGGGAGATGGCAAGGCACTTGGAATTAGGGGTACAGCACTAGAATCGTGGACTCGAATTTGAATCCTGGCTCTGTCCCTATTAGCTGTGCAACTGTGGGAGAGCCCTGTAACTTCTTTGAGCCTCAGTTTTACCATATGTGCAATGGGGATAATATTGCTTCATGGATGGTTGTAAGGATTGAAGGAGGTAATGCACACATTGTACTTGGGATGCAGTAAGTGTGTTCATTTTCTAGGGCTGCTATGCAAATTACCATAAACCGGGTGGCTTAAAAGGGAAGAATTATATCTGGCACAGTTCCGGAGGCTGGAAGTCCAAAATCAAGGTGTTGGCAGAGTCACATTCCCTCTGGAGGATATGGGGAAGAATGCTTCTTGCCTCTTCCTAGTTTCTAGGGCCTCTGGTGGTTCGGGTGTGTCTACTCCGGTCTCTGCTCCATCCTCATATGGCCTTCTCTGTGTGTTCCAAACCTCTCTCTTTCCTTATAAGGACAGCACCCTCCTCTAGTATGGCCTCCATTTGATTCCATCCGTAAAGACCCTATTTCCAAAGAAGGTCACATTCACAAGGACCAGGGGTTAGGATGTCAGCATATTGCTTGGCGGGATACCATTCAACCCACACCAGTATGCACTGAATAAAAGGTGTTATTACTATTATAATGCGATTTCCCACCTGAGCTGGAAAGTGCCAACTTTCATAGAGGAAAACACTATAATCCCATATTAAATTCATAGGAAAACACAGCCCATTTGTTCCTTCTATGTCAGTTGCACAGTTCAGGCTGAATTCAACTGAAAAAGTCACCCACCAATCATGCATAATACAGAGCATTTGTGAAGTGTTGGGGCAGTTCAGTGAATTCTTTGAAAGGAATGGGCTCAGGTCAGGGTATTTGGCAGCTCCCCGTTGACAACACGGGTTCATATGAAATGTTTCTGTAAGCTGCCGACTCTAAATCCCAACCTCCATTCTGAAGCACCTGGACCTTTAATCACCTCAATTCGGGAACCCTCTCTGAGTGCCTGCCCAATACGACAGCAGGGGCAAATGTCTCTTAGGCGAAGGTTTCTCACTCTCGGCACTATTGACCGCTTGGACTGGATGATTCCTAGTCATGGGGGCTGTCCTGGGCACTGTAATAGGTTTACAGCACCCCTGGCCTCTACTCACTAGATGCCACCAGCTCTCTCCAATGGGCACAACCAAGATTGTCTTCGGACATTGCCCAATATTCCCTGGATTGCAAAATCACTCTCAGCTGAGAACCAGTGGGTTAGAGGAAGCAAACAAGCAAATGGGAGATGATAGGAGTATGTGGACATTGTCGAGGGAGGGGTAAGCAGGAAGATACTGTAGATGTTGTTTGGCCGTCCTCCAAATTTAATGTTGCACTTGTGAGAATAGATACATTCAGACCCACTAAGTTCTATAGCATTTGTTGGGAAGAACTTGAATTCATGACATGTTTAAGAAATCATTTTTATCCATTCTTCCTACCCTTAATCCAATAAACATTCATTGGGTATCATCTGTGTGGCAGGTACTGTAAACTTTACCCGCAGGGACCTGGAGGTGCCATAGCTCCTGGTGTTACTGACGTGGATGTGCCGAGCTATACAGCGCAAGACTCTGATACCCAGGAACTGTCCCCCCGAAAGAAAGAAGAAGAAGAAACCAAAATGTCCCTATGTGTGTGTGTGGGGGGGCGTGTTGAAGGCAGCTGAAGGTGTAGGCACAAGACAAGAAATATTGTGGAGGAGGCATTATGGGCTCTCACTGATGGGGCAGGAGGAACAGGGACATTTTCATAGGAGATACGTCATTAAGAAAGGTTTAGAAAGAGATAATCCAGGTGGAGGGAGAGAGGAGAAATTCTAAGCTAAGGGAACCGTCAGTGGAAAGACAAGGAAGCCTTAAGCATCATGGTCTGTTAACAGATCCATTGGAAAAATGAAGTGCCTGATTACCAGAAGCTACAAGCCAGCAGACACAGGCTTCATTCAAGCTGCAGGTGTGTGCTTTTTGGCCCAAAGAGTGTATTCATTCATTCATTCATTCACTCATTTATTCATCCATTCATTTAATTAATTAATTTTACTCATCAGCATTTAAAAATCTAGAGACCTTGTATAAATAATTTATTGATTTCTTTTAAAGAAATGGAAGATCTGGTTAATGAGTGGTGGTATTAATCAGAGAGGGCATTCTTGGTGGGAATTCATATGTAGAAGGACAGAAAGATTTTAAAGATACTTAGTTATTTTAGCAAGTTCTTAGAGAGGCACAAGAGGGAGAAAACATGGAAAATGGGAACAATATGGCTTCTTTTGATTATAGTGAGGGAGCAGGCACAGAGGGGGAAATTGATTAGGTGGAGTCTTGATTTCAATAAAAGCTGAAACTATCCAAAAACATTCCTGGCGGTGGGCACCCGCATGATGACATTATTGTAAGGAAACCACATACAAACGAAGTAATCAGCAGTTAGACGCAGAACCCGTCTAGTCAGCCTACGTTGGGGAACATCTGGGTCCGAGTTATAGCAGGGTTGTGCCACAGATGAAGAAGGAGGTCAAGAAGGGAATAATTTAAATTGTGAATGAGAAGGGTAACTTGAGCCTACCCATTCAGGATGGAGATTTGGATTGTCTGTATCCTTGTTCCTCCCACTGACTTATTTATTATAGTGTAGATAATAAGGAATTTAGCTGTGTTCTTATCTTGCTGTTCCTGTTCTGTTCACCAGCAATGCTTTCTGGAAGCAGTGTGTGCTGGTAAATGCCAGAAGCTCACTCATCTGGTAACCTGTGAAAATTCATTGGATTTGGGTGCCATTGCAGATGCCTGTTCCTTAGGATGCTTTCTGTGGCCTCACCATCAGCTAGAGCATGGAGTGGAGCATAGAGTGTCCGCTACTTGGTCCAGTGGGTAGGTATGTAAGGTGATTACTATAGGGACCCCAGTAACTCCAGTTACTAGTAGGGAGACCCCATGAGCTCAGCTGACCCACACTGGAGGGGCATGTGGCTTAATAAGACAGATCCAGCAAAGACTCTTCACACAGGATTGAGTTTCTTAAAGGATGCTGCTTCTAGGCCAGTAATACTCCATTTATTATAGGATCACATTTGAAGTAGGTATGACATTTTCATGGCCCTGGAGGAACCTTGGATAGGAGCTCTAGTTGGTGGAGCAGGAGGTGTAATCCCTGGGGGATGGGAAAAATATCGGTCTCTGCTGGGTTTGATGCAGACCCTTTGAAGCAGACCCCAAGGCAGGGTGCCCTCCTTAATGTCCATCACCCAGTTACCCCATCCCCCCACCTCCCTCCCCCCCAGCAACCCTCAGTTTGTTTCCTATGTTTAAGAGTCTCTTATGGTTTGTCTTCCTCTCTGATTTTGTCTTGTTTTATTTTTCCTTTCCTTCCTCCATGCTCCTCCGTTTCCACATATGAGTGAAATAAAATAATAATTGACTTTCTCTGCTTGACTTATTTCACTTAGCATAATCTCCTCCAGTCCCATCCATGTTGATGCAAATGTTGGGTATTCATCCTTTCTGATAGCTATAAGTAATAGTCCATTGTATATAGGGACCACATCTTCTTTATCCATTCGTCTGTTGAAGGGCATCTTGGCTCCTTCTACAGTTTGGATATTGTGGACATTGCTGCTATAAACATTGGGGTGCACGTACCCCTTCGGATCCCTACATTTGTGTCTTTGGGGTAAATACCCAGTAGTGCAGTTGCTGGGTCGTAGAGTAGCTCTATTTTTAACTTCTTGAGGAAGCTCCATACTGATTTCCAGAGTGGTTGCACCAACTTGCATTCCCACCAGCAGTGTAAGAGGGTTCCCCTTTCTCAGCATCCTCGCCAACATCTGTCGTTTCCTGTTAATTTTAGCCATTCTGATATGATCTCCTTTTTTTTTTTTAAAGATTTTATTTATTTATTTGAGAGAGAGAAAGAGAGCACATGAGAGGGGGGAGGGTCAGAGGGAGAAGCAGACTCCCTGCTGAGCAGGGAGCCTGATGCGGGACTCGATCCCGGGTCTCCAGGATCATGACCTGAGCCGAAGGCAGTCGCTCAACCAACTGAGCCACCCAGGCGCCCGTGATCTCCTTTTTTAATGCTTTCCTTCTCATACTGTCTGGGCCAAGCCAACGAAAGCATGGAAACCGCCAGACTCTCTCTCGCCCTGGCCTATGCTGGAGATAAGCAGCTTCTCCCTCTTGTCTGGCCAGCTCACACCCATTCTTGGGGCTCAGTTTCACTTTCCCAGATCCCTGGGGACTGGAGTGGATGCCCTCCTACGTGTTTCAACAACACCATGACTCTCCTGTCCTGTAGCTCCCATACTGGATGGTAATGGTCTTCCCAAATGCTTCAGTCCCTGACTCAGCTGGGAGCCCCCTAAGGGCAGGGGTGATGCCTGGCTCTTGGCTGTATCTCCTATGCCCAGCACAGGGCCAAGAACACAGTTGGTGCTCAATATCTACTTAGCAATTGAGTGAATGCACGCATGCGTGAATGACAGCCCTCAGGCCTTACACCTTCAGGCGTGCGATCACAAGGATTACTCCCGGACCTTTATGATTTACAGCCTGGCATTTGACAAAGCTGGCCTTTCACTGTGTCCAGAAGAGCTGACCTCTGCAAACAATCAGACGCTTATTCCAGAAAACTCCGATGGGGCAGGGCAGGGGGCAAAGGCTGAGGGATATTGAGTCTTCAGTTCACAGAGCTTCTCTAGAAATGTTGAGGGCTGCTTGTTACTCGTTCCTAATAAGAAAATAGTCAAGCTCTTATGATCTGAGAATTGTCGTAAAAGCTCTGGTCTAAGAGTTTGGGGAAGGTGGCCCAACCAAATGCGTGGTCCCCTCCTCCAGCCTTTGCATTTCCACATTGGGCAGACCCTGCTCTTGATTCTCCCAGTCTTTATAGAAACAATAAGCGTGTCTTTTAAATTTACTTTCTCCCACAGAAGCTAATTTAATATTTCGAGAGAACAAACAGCCAAGGCCAGCCCTGGATGGTTGTTATTTATATGATCATAAAAAAGATGGATCCAGCTCCTGATATTACTAAATTGTCTTTGGAAAAGGAGCTAGGAGGGACTGAAATGTGTCTCTGCCGTGGTGGGGATAAAAATGAAATTGTCTAAAAGTCCTCCTAGAACGTAGGCCTGGGAGGCTGCTGGCTACTCTGGGCCAAGAGTGTCCCCTTTGCCTTCGTGGGCACTTTTATGTGATTTGGCTTCCTCTGAAGGTACAGAAGTTGCTTTGCTCCTTTGAGCAACTGCTCAAGGAGTTTCGGCTAGGAATAGATTTTTTTTATTGTTATGATCGAGCTGTATAATAATCCCGAAGAGGCAAGGACAGTAATTGTGTTATGGTTGGTGTGCTGTCCTTCTTAGTCCAGGAAGGACAGGGAAGTTCAAGTCTGCTTTTCTTAATTGTTACCTGCAGGGTATACTTTCTTGCCTGATCTGGCATCTTCCTCTCCTGGCTGCCAGAAGACAGGGGGTTATGAATTCTTAAAGGCTGCTGCCCCTCAGGTAGTAAGAGGTCGGAAGCAGAAGTACACAAGAGCAAGAAGATACACCACAGAAGTTCCTGTCCAGCTCAGAGCCTGGCCATACAGCCTCATCCCAGGCGGTGAGAGACAGATGATTCTCATTATTCACGGTCGTTATGTTTTATAAAACCATCGTGGAACACTGACCTAGGGAATGCTGAGACACTGCTCCTTGGGGACACACAGGGTTTGTTTCCCCCAAGCCTCTGGTCCCAACATTTTCATCAGTCAATTAATACGTAACCTTATTTTCTGTGTGTTTCTGTTTATTTATTTTTTTAATTTAATTTAATTTTTATTATGTTATGTTAGTCACCATACAATACATCATTAGTTTTTGATGTGTTGATCCATGATTCATTGTTTGCGTATAACACCCAGTGCTCCATGCCCTCCTTAACACCCATCACCTGGCTAACCCATCCCCCCCCAAACCCCTCAGTTTGTTTCTGAGTCCATAGTTTCTCATGGCTCATCTCTCCCTCTGATTCCCCCCCCCTTCATTTTCCCCTTCCTTCTCCTAATGTCCTCCATGCTATTCCTTATGTTCCACAAATGAGTGAAACCATATGATAATTGACTTTCTCTGCTTGACTTATTTCACTTAGCATAATCTCCTCCAGTCCCATCCATGTTGATGCAAAAGATGGGTATTCATCCTTTCTGATGGCTGAGTAATATTCCATTGTATATATGGACCACACCTTCTTTATCTATTCATCCTTTGAAGGGCATCTTGGCTCTTTCCACAGTTTGGCTATTGCAGACATTGCTGCTATGAACATTGGGGAGCATATGGCCCTTCTTTTCACTACATCTCTGTCTTTGGGGTAAATACCCAGTAGTATAATTTCTGGGTCATAGGGTAGCTCTATTTTTAATTTTTTGAGGCACTTCCACACTGTTTTCCAAAGTGGCTGTACCAATTTGCATTCCCACCAACAGTGGAAGAGGGTTCCCCTTTCTCCACGACCTCTCCAACATTTGTTGTTTCTTGCCTTGTCAATTTTTGCCATTCTAACTGGTGTAAGGTGGTATCTCAATGTGGTTTTGATTTGAATTTCCCTGATGGCTAATGATGATGAACATTTTTTCATGTGTCTGTTAGCCATTTGTTGTATGTCTGCTTCAGAGAAGTGTCTGTTCATGTCTTCTGCCCATTTTTTGACTTGATTATTTGTTTTTGGGGAGTTGAGTTTGAGAAGTTCTTTATAGATCTTGGATACCAGCCCTTTATCGGTAATGTCATTTGCAAATATCTTCTCCCATTCTGTGGGCTGCCTCTTTGTTTTGTTGACTGTTTCCTTGGATGAAGTCCCAAAAGTTCATTTTCGCTTTTGTTTCACTTGCCTTTGGAGATGTATCTTGAAAGAAGTTGCTGTGGCCAATGTCAAAGAGGTTACTGCCTATATTCTCCTCTAGGATTTTGATGGATTCCTGTCTCACATTGAGGTCTTTCATCCATTTTGAGTTTATCTTTGTGTATGGTGTTAGAGAATGGTCGAGTTTTATTCTTCTGTATATAGCTGTCCAATTATCCCAGTACCATTTATTGAAGAGACTGTCTTTCTTCCATTGCATGTTTTTTCCTGCTTTGTCGAAGATTATTTGACCATAGAGTCGAGGGTTCATATTGGGCTCTCTATTCTGTTCCATTGATCTATGTGTCTGCTTTTGTGCCAGTACCATGCTGTCTTGGTGATCACAGCTTTGCAATATAGCTTGAAATCAGGCAACGTGATGCCCCCAGCTTTGTTTTTCTTTTTCAACATTTCCTTGGCGATTTGGGATCTTTTCTGATTTCATACAAATTTTAGGATTGTTTGTTCTAGTACTTGAAAAATGTCATTGGAATTTTGATCAGGATGGCATTGAAGGTATAGATTGCTCTGGGTAGCATAGACATTTTAACAATGTTAATTCTTCTGATCCATTAACATGGAATGTTTTTCCATCTTTTTGTGTCTTCTTCAATTTCTTTCATGAGTGTTCTATAGTTCCTAGAGTATAGATCCTTTACCTCTTTGGTTAGGTTTATTCCGAGGTATCTTACGGTTTTTGGTGCTATTGTAAATGGAATCTATGCTCTAATTTCTCTTTCTAGAGTTACGCTATAGTTTCTACAGTGTATAAGAAAGCAGCTGATTTCTGTGCATTGATTTTGTATCCTGCCACATTATTGAATTGCTGTATGAGTTCTAGTAATTTGGGGGTGGAGTCTTTTGGGTTTTCCACATAAAATATCATGTCATCTGCGAAGAGAGAGTTTGACTTCTTTGCCAGTTTGAATACCTTTTATTTCTTTTTGTTGTCTGATTGCTGTTGCTAGGACTTCTAGTACTATGTTGAACAAC